GTATATATGCTCCTGGGGCAACCAACAGTAGATTCCTTGACATTTTGTTAATATGTCCAAATTCATATCATTGTGATGACATACAACTTTCTTTCTCAAAATGTGTCCTCTGTATTGGCTTATTCAGGTGTATTTTCCCATAACACGCCTAAGGACTATAATAAATACTATGAAAAAATTGGAAAGATTTTGTGTATATATACTTTTTTTCTGGGAATAAATTTCATGACTTTTAAAAGATTTCCAAAGGGTCCATCTTTATCAAAAGATTATGAACTCTTGAATTTGGTGGTGATTCAGATATACGATATCAGCCAGCCCATAGTACCCCTTGTATGAAAACAAATAGAAAGCAGGATTCATGAAATGTTGCCAGTGAGTGAGACAGTGTGACATTTCTTACGATGAACCAGATATTTCTTGGACCTGTGTTAAACACATAGGGAGCAGCAGCTCAGCTGACAGTGATTTCTCTAGAAAGCATTCCTGTATTCTGTTCCTCTTCTCCCAACAAAAGATTCCTTCCCATGGCACTTAGTCCAAGCTGAGCAGGTCAGAATAATTCCCTGAGATTCTTTAGGATTAAACTGAGAAAATGATATGCTTTTTCCCTCTTTGGTCATTTTTCTAAAATGATGTAGGCCCCCAGGCTGTGTCTACCAAATATGTCTAATCTGGTGGAGAAAGAGAAGGAAAGAATGGAGCTTACATCTGGAAGGAAGCAGAAGCAAGAAGCAGAGAATGAGTTCCAGGAATATGGAGGCCCTTTGGCCCCAACGGAGGTTCCATTGTCCTCTCCCTATCCCAGACATATGAGCTACCAAATCACTTTTTTCTACTTAACCTAGTTCAAGTCACGTTTCTGTCAGTAGCAACCAAAAAAGTGCTGACCTCTTTATTTTCAGTATCATCTTCATTTTCAGGCCACTTCTCAAAAGGAATAGAGGTTTTTATCTTATCATAAAAATTATTGCCGAAGCTGCCTCACAAGAAGGGGACATCTACTCTGGCATATTCTTAGTGGATTCATTCTCTAGCTAAGTGACTTATCTGCACATTTGAACCCAGGAAGAACAGCTTCATACACCTGAGAACAACTGCAAATTGGCACAAGTCATGGGCCTTGATGTCTTTGAACAAGTTGATAAAAGGACTATGTTAAGCAAAATGGTACGAATCTGGCTGCAGAAGTAAATTCCTTGGGCTTGAGATGTTGGCCCAGAGTTGGACACATCACTTATATTTCCTGTTCCCTCACCTATGAAGGGAACAAAATAATAAAGTCAGTGACATGGAAGAACTGTGAAGACTGGATAAAACATATTTGTAATACACATCCTAACTACTTGTCCCACAAGAGCATTAACCATAATTATTATTGTTATTACTACTATTGAAGCTTTAGATCTTAGCTCCTTAAATGCTAGTGTGTGAAAGCTCTACAAAGACACATGACATTAAAAAGGACCCTAGAGGAGAAGCTGAGCGAGTCCCA